AACTTTAAGGGAGAGGTTTTCCTTCTCTCACACAAAAACGTGAGAGTTGGTTTGAATTTATGGGACCTCTGTCCAGGCAAGTGTCTCCAACTTCAGGACGCACCTCCTTTGTAACTCCAAGGCTTCCTTGGGAATTGCTGCATCAAGGCCAAACTGCCAAGTCGAGTCCTCCTCCCGGTAAGGCCTTTTTAATTGTGTATCCGTAGCTAGTCTTTGTTTTCTTTGGTGCTCATTGCAAAATTCAGCAATTCTAATTCTAAATCCAAATAGTATTGGGAAGGAAAGCTAGTTAAAATAATGTCTGAAATTGAGTCAGTATTCTGTCCCTAGGAAAAAGCTAGTCACAGCTTCCTTCTCCCACAAAAATTTCTGCTGAAAAGAGAGACCATACAGGGAAAACGATTGCTCGGAGTAATGAAAGGGTTGAAAATAGCATTTTGAGCATGATTATGTTGTTTTTATTCCCTGAGGTTGAACAAATTCTTAACTTTAGTTTTTTTAATGGCACTGAAAATAATTTCTTTCTAGTTGACTCTTACTTCCATGCAATATTTTGTCTTGTTAATTGGGTAGAGTCACAAATTTAAGTCATCATCCAGAAAAGAAAGAAATAAGTCAGACTTAAAGTAATCTAAATGGCAGATCTTTGCACTCAAAAATAAATAAATAAAAACCTCAGATCCAGGATGAATCATCCTTGAAACTCTCCAAACTTTCCATCCAGTTTTATGGGTGAAAACTGTGGGAGACAAGTTTGGGAAGCATCCAGTGCCAGGTACTGTTTCATACATAGAATCTTATTTACTTCTCACAGTAACACTTAGAGGCAACTATGATTACTGTCATTGTATTATATTGCTATTTGATAAGTGTAGACAAAAAGGATCAGAGAAAACCATAGTTAACATCTATTCATTGGACATTTACTAGGTCAGGCCCCTCATCTGCCTTTTTTTACTTAATCCACCAAAACAATAACAACAACAACCCCTACAGGCCGGCTTCTCTCATTGGTTTCATTTTTTCACAGACACTGAGCCTAAGGGACCACATTGCTAACCACTACCAGAATCAGACTAGAATTGGGGACTGACTCCACGGTCCTAGTTGTGACCATTTCTCTCTGAGATGTAACCCATCAAATTCTCCAGAGCCTGAGATTTTCCTGTTGCTATTTTAAATTAGGTACTATACTATTGGTATTATTTTTTAACATATACATATGTATACAAGCGAACACTGTTAATATTTAATTATAGGTTTATACTGATATTGGATGCAAGTATAAGCTAGATTTATTTTAAATAATAGAAGAGTCAGAAGCTCTGAAAGGTATATTCAGGTTTGGGTAAAACATGTTTATCTGTTACATTTCAGTGAGAAAATTGTTAAGTCATATGCCACCAGCCATACACAGAAATGCAACTTAACTATTCTAAATAATGTGGTCAGTGGTACACATGATTGCACTGGGAACTAGTTTCCTTCTGCTGTAGAATTGATCAGTTGAATTATGTAGACAAGAAGGGTAAAACATTATTAAAATTATCTTGAGTCCTAGATTTGAGACCTATATAAAACACTAGGTAATTTGCCTGTGAATGCATCAGAAAACACTTTTTAAAGGGATTGGGATGGGTTATTTTCTCCTCTGTTAAATATTAGCCTTTGAAATAATCCAGCTGATCTGCTTAGTAACACTTGCAAATTGTTGTGTTTTAATAAAGTGACAGACAGAAGCCACACTCGGCCTGCTTCTGTTTCTGGAGGTGGCACAGGCCAGGGGCATTATGCAATCATGCCTTTTAAAAGGAGGGAGCCTATTAGCTCACACCTTGCCTGGCAACAAATGTAGCCACTTACTCCAAAGGCAGGCATAATTAGGATCTATGAAAATCTAACATCAGAATCCCAAACCCCTGGTGCAATACTCAGTAAATTACAGCTTTTTTTGTCTGTAATATTTGCAACCATTGCATTTAAAAATGTGAATTCATGAGTGTTCAATGTTTTAGGAGTCCTGTGCTATAAGACTATGGAAAGAAAGGTTTCATCACTATCAGGTGTTCTGTAAATGGGGCACCACATTTGGATTTCTGGAGGGCTCAGAGCTGCACCACCACTCACTGCTGGAAGAGGGCCAACCCAAATGGGCTACTCTTGTGAAAATCCTGGGGCCAGCAGGGGACACAGTGAAAACTTGCGAGAGCCACTAGCAATCATCATTTCTATTATAGCATTAACCAGGCAAGCCCAGGCTCATGCATTAGTTTATAACATTTTAGCAGATCCTTATAAATTAAGATTGAGAGAACATTAATTTTTAATCTAATATTGGCTGACCAGTAGAAGAAAATATTATTTTAAAACACTCTTAAATGTTGTAAAATTGGTTTTTAAATGAGCTAAACTGAGAATTAATTAAATTACTTTAACTTTTTTGTTGCAATAAGAAAATAAATACTTTAAAATTTCAAGTTAAACATAGAGGTCTTAAAATACATTCTGGAAAACTATTTTGCAGAAAATATATATTGTTCCTCTGATTGCGACTGGCCATTGATTTATGAGTTTCAGAGCATAAAGTTGTGCTCAGCTGTCCAGCAATAGCAGTGAAGACTTGGCCCCTTCAGAATGGAAGGATCCCTATTAGTTTTTCTCCTTCGTCTCCTAGTGTTGTAATTTTTATTCCATGGTGTTGTCTCTTTAAAAGATTTTAAATCTTAAAACAGAGAAATAGGTATTGACATTGAGAGCATAAAATCCCAGCCTACTGGGTATGATGTCTTTAAATAGGTAATACAGACCTCTAGTGGTGGAACAGTCTGACCGCCTCTGCAAGGCAGGAGCAAGTGCCAGCATTTTAAGGAGAAAAAAAACAGTTGTTAGTTAAAATTATTCATGTTGCAAAACTCACATATTTCATACAAACAAAAAAGGTAAGAATATGCTTCAAGGGAAGGTGGAGTACTTCCCATCATTTTTAATGCTCCTTAATTCTCCTTAAATAAGCAAGAATCTTTCCACCAAAGATCCAGCAAGAAATTTGCATCTGTATTGAGTCTTCTAAAAGATTAACATCCAATCCATATATAAATGGAGCTGACAGATATTTGTTATGTGAAATAGGTTTTGTTTTCCTATCTTCACAGTTTTGCCTCAGTGGGACCCTTGCTCTGAATTTTGAGGGCTTTCCATGGAAATGCAGGAGACCCTCACACAGCCACAGCTTGGCTGTGCTATTCCAGGTCTCTCCCTGGCCAGCCACACTTCTCTGGGGCAAGCTCAGCGATTGGGGTAGCTCTCCAGTCTACAGAAGGGACAAACTCTTGGATCCATGCTCAAGCTTAAGTGATTGCTAACTGTCCTGGACTAGTGCTTCTCAAACTTAAATGGATACACAAATAACTTTGTTGAAATGCAGGCGATTCAGTGGTAGGGCCTGAGAGTGCTTTGCTAGGGAGCTCCCAGATGATGCAGATACTCTCCTCTAGGACCACACAGGGAGTAACAAGGAGACTCTAGCACCGGTTTATTAATTATGCTTTTTGTTTTTACTAATCTCTTCATCTTTTTTGCTTTTACTTTAATAGCATCTCTTAAATTTTAATTTTTGAGTTTATAAAACTTTAAAAATTCCCTTTTACTTGACTATGTACAAATATCTTTGAGAACCTGTTAATCAAACTAGGTCAAGTTGCTCATATGTTGTAAACATCTATTTAGTATCATCTGTTTCGGTTGGTGAGTTCCTGGGTACTTGTGAGCCCCCCTCTAAGCACTGAGGTCATTAGGCACTTATAACCACAATTAAATGTCTGGTTAGCCATATTGGATGAGGGGGTAAGACCTGGTTTTGTGCATGTTGAAAACCTATGACGGGCCCAAAGCAACATCCATATTATAAAATGGGGCAGAATAAAAAGCACAAACTGAAACCATAAGAGTCAACAGATCAGAGTCAAAGTCTTGGAAAATATAATTTTTCAGACAAAATCTATTATAATTCCATCATCTAAATTACTTCCTATAATAGCATGTTGTCAACCTTAATTTTGAAGCACATAATTTTAGAACTTATGTCACAGGGTAGCCTTTAAAAGCCTCTTGCAAACTTCCAACATCTAGTTTCAAGTAAAAAATAATATATTAGCAAGCTGTAGCATGGAGTACATAAATTATCATCATTGCCTTGCATGAACGGTAATTCACAAGTCTGGTTCAGACACAACTTAGATGAAATAATTAACTATGTACAGTACTTAACAGTATAAAAGTAATTAATCTAGCTGCCTCATACTGGTTTGGCCTAAAAAACATGCAATAAAAAAGGCATACAATTTTATTATTTCCTCACTGGTTACTACTCTAGTAAGTTGGATTTTAATATGACAGGAGAAATATATCTTTCCTTTAAAAAAATCACTATTTTCAAAAGTCAATATACTGATTATAACCTAATGAGATCCATATATTTATAATGGTGGGCAGATGTTCTCAATTAGTATTCTATGCAGTCTGATTCGCAAGAGTTTGGTGAAAATGATCATCTATTTTAATTAAGGTGTAAATAATAAAAAATTTGATTTTTTTAACTGTAAATCACATATACTCTTTTAATGGTACCACAATTGTGTTGTGGCATAGCTTTGGCAAAATGTTTCAGTTAAACATGGTGTGTGCTCCATGGGTTCTGGGAGGAGACAAGTTGTCTTTTGACCTATAGTCCCTTTACCAGCAGGCTCACAAGGTAAAGAGCAGGGTCATTAGTTAGGATAAGAGCAACCACTAAGACAAGTGTTCCTGTTTGGGCAGGAGAAAAGGACTCAGGTGATTCCTGCTAGAAGGGAGATGCATCCCATTCAGGTGTTGTTTTAAAGTCCACTCTCACACTCTCAGTGTATGAACACTTCTTTGCCTAACCTTATAGACTGTGACATTCTCTCCCTGTATGATTCCATTGATTAAGTATTGTGTTATTATCCCCATTTCATAAATAGGCAAAGAAGAAGAAGAGGCTGAGTAATTCTTCCGAAATCAAATAGCACAAAAGATATAGGCTCAAAAGTAAAAACCAGAGGCTTCTTCTTCAAGCGATCCAGGATGGAGTAACAGGGATTACCTTCTCACCTAAAATAACAACTAAAAATTAGAGAGAGAGAGAGAGAGAGAGAGAGAGAGAGAACGAGAACATAGGAAAATCTGAAACAATGGTTTTCAGGACAGTAGATATCAGACAACAAAGGGCAGTGATCTCTGAGGGATGGGAAACAAAGGAAGGTGAGCCCTGTGATTGCCCCAGCTCACTGCCCAGAGGGAGTTTCCAGCATAGCACAGGGAAGGAGAATCCTGGAGGAGCTCCAATATCTCCCTGGGTTGAGAAGATGGAGTTGGAAGTCCAGAGAGGCAAGGAGCTAGAGTCCACAGGGCAGAGTACCAGAGAATAGAGAACTTTACAGAGGAAGAGCCCAGAGATCTGCAAAGGGGCCTTTGTGTTTCAGTGCTTGTGTGTGAGTAATCACCCAAAAGGATTAGAAGGAACAATCCCCAGAGATCATCCAGAGCCAGAAAATAGTTCCTGTTCCCACAGGCTGGAGTGCAAAAACCTCATAATTCATGGGACATCAGATAGCATACTCAGAAGGGTTTTGTCTCAGGAGTGGGAAAATATCAGCCGTAGACTAAGTTCTGCTCTGGTTTTACCTAACAAAGCCCAAAAGCCAAATATAAAGGGATTAAACTATTTGCAAGTAATTGCTTCCCAGAGCAAAAGCTGGAAAATTTTTATAGGAATACAAAAACATCCAATACCAAACAAGGCAAAATTCACAGTGTTTAGCATCCATTCAAAAATCACCAGGCATGTGCCCTAGCTATATAGCTCAATTGGTTAGAGCGTCATCCAATATACCAAGGTTGCAGGTTCAATCCCTGGTCAGAGCACATATAAGGATCCACCAATGAATGCATAAATAAGTGGAATAACAAATATCTTTCTCTTATCTTCCCTCCCTCTCTCTCCTTTCCTATAACTCTCTAAAGATCAATTTTTTTAAAAAAATTTACCAGGCATGCAAAAAGCCAGGAAAATGCAATCCATAAAGAGAAGAAAAAAAGCAATCAATGGAAAAAGACCTAGTAATGACACAGGTGATAGAATTAGTACACAAGGACATTAATGGTAATTATAACTGAATTCCATATGTTTAAGAAGCTAGAGGAAAGAAAGTCTGAACATGTTAAGTAGAGACATGGAATACATAGAAAACACTGAAATTGAATGTCTGAGATGAAAACTCCAATCAGGACTTCAGATGTCAAGACCATGTTCCTTCCACTGCCTCCACAATATTCTTCCCTGGATCCCGAGTTTGATCTTAGCAGCCCAATACGTAATACCTGCTTAATACTAAAAGTCCTAGGTGAATGCTCCCCTTAAGAGAGCGGGAGGATGTTACCAGTTAAAGACAACAAAGTTCCCCAAGCCATCATGTGTGCCCTTTCCACATCACTTTGATCCATTCCCACAGCCTGTCTCTGGTTCATGGAGCAGGTTCCACCACTTTCCATGGACTGACATGGAAAGGAGCTGCTAGAAGTTCTCAACATGGCACTGTCTGAGTTACAAGAATGTGGATGGTACCAAATCCTATATATACTGTGTCTTTTCCTATACTTAAATACCTATGATGAATTTTGGTTTATAGGCACAGTAAGAGATTAACAATAAAACTAATAATAAAATAGAACAATTATAGCAGTTATGTGAATGTGTTGTCTCTTTCAAAATATATTGTCTTATTCTCACTCTTCTTGTGATGGTATGAAACCACAAAATGCCTATATGATGAGATGGGGTGAGGTGAATGACATAGGCACTGATGTAGTGTTGGGCTATTGTTGACTTTCTAACAATACATCAGAAGCAGGATCATCAAGCCATGACAATGTCAATGGTTGATTGTCAGGAGCAGGTAAGGTTGATGGTTGAAGAAATTTAATATTTTTGGACCACACTTGACATGGGTAACTAAAACCACAGAAAGTGAAATCATGGATAAGAAGAAACTACTGTGATTTGAAAAGGCATACAATTTTATCTCTTTACATAAAATTAAAATGAAAATTAGTACTTTTGTTCTTCCCCATCCAATGTACTGTGTATAAAATAATGAATTGTGTTCTTCCAGCCAATGAAGCAATTAACCAAACTGTACATTTTCTTTTTACAGAATTCAAAATATAGTCATGAGAATTAAACTACTTTTTCAGCAAAGATGAAAAATCAACTTGTCCAGGAAGTTTTATTAGAGCTGGTGTACCAAGACATGTACATGCTAGCCAAGTGTTACAGTTCATTAGAAACATCCTATATCCACCCAGAATTAATCCAGTGAAAGTCCCTCAATCAATGTATTCTCCTGATCAATAGCAGATATGTTCTCTTTATCTGCTTCTGCTTGTGTTCCTAAACCTTCAGTGAATGGATTTGGAGAATATATTAGTATAAAAACACGAAGGTAATTTTGCGACACAAATGTGCAGATAATATACTTAGAGCATCACAGTTCACTTTAGATAGTGAAGCTTTAAAAAATAAATATCTTTTAGCAATTACTAAACATCTTTTAAAATTTAACCTCATCATCAATTATGTGACCAGGACATTGGATCAGTGTGGCTCTGGGAAATAGCATCAGTCCCTTTCACTTTAGAAAACCTTTTGGGCACTAAATGATTCTTTTAAATGCATATTAAAACAATATGCAAGAATACCAAAATATCTCAGATTCTGTGCTATATTCACCCATGTGGAGACATCACATTAGTGAAACACAACAAAAGCTCTAAAAGATATAATGGTATCTTTAACAATATAGAAAATGAAAAGAGAAAAATCAGTTGCTGGCAGGAACAATGAAGTGAAAGGTGACATCCAGACTGCCGCTCTGAAAGTTGTTGCACTGCGCTCCATCCATCTCCTGCACACCCAAGTGGGGCAGCCCAGCTGTATGGGAGCAGGGGTGAATAATAACCTCATCCAGTCACACCTCTGCTTTCCTATTACCTCCATCCCCTCCGTCATGAATTGTGGAAATGGAAGGAGGGGATGTCTAATCAAGATAGACTTAAGATATTTAGTGCAGTTTAAAAACATTGCAACACAGGTCTGCAGCATCTTGCAGGAGCTTACAGTCTGTTTCTCAGTTGTAAAAATAGGTGGTTGGCCTACATCCTATGTTGTAAATTGGCAGCCCTTGGACCAGATTTGATTTTAGTTCAACACAGTGTTGCTTTTGTTCCCACCTGCATGAGTTGAAAACACTTCAAAATAAGATATTTCTCATAAAATTTAAAATTTCAAGCTTATTTTTAAGAAATTGGCCTGTATCTCTCCTGATCACAATTGCCATAATTGGTTGTAGCTGACAAGTGATCTTCCCCAGCCCCACTTCCTCTGAGGAAGGGAAAGGGTCCTGCATTTACCACCATGCCTGAGTCACCCACCTGTTACACCCAGCCCCACTGATTGTGTGAATATGTGAACCCTGGAGCATATCATTTCTAGGGACCATTCCAGCAATAAAGTGTTACAAATCTCTGACATGTTGTTTCAATCAAAGCAAAATACTATCCTATATAATAAAGAGGTAACATGCAAATTGACCATCACACCCTCACACACGATGGCCACCCCTATGTGGGCACAAGATGGCCGCCACCATGTGGTCAAAAGATGGCCGCCACAAGATGGCCAGCAGGGGAGGGCAGTTAGGGGCGACCAGGCCAAAGGGAGGGCAGTTGACGGGGGGGAGGCCAGGCCTGCAGGGGAGAGCAGTTGGAGGCGACCGGGCTGGAAGGAGAGGGCAGGTGGGGCAACTGGGCCAGCAGGGGAGGGCAGTTGTGGGGGACCAGGCCTGCAGGGGAGGAAGGGAAGTTCTGGGGGACCAGGCCTGCAGGAGAAGGAAGTTAGGGGCTACCAGACTGGCAGGGGCAGGGCAGTTAGGGGCAACCAGGCCGGCAGGGGAGGGCAGTTGGGGGGGAACAGGCCTGCATGAGAGGGTAGTTGGGGGAGACCAGGCCAGCAGGGGAGGGCAGTTGGGGGCAATCGGGCCAGCAGGAAAGCAGTCAGGCATTGATCAGGCTGTCAAGGGAGTGGTTAGGACAGGGTGGGCAAACTTTTTGACTCAAGGGCCACAGTGGGTTCTTAAACTGGACCAGAGGGCCAGAAGAAAAGCATGGATGGAGTGTTTGTGTGAACTAATATAAATTCAAAGTAAACATCATTACATAAAAGGGTACGGTCTTTTTTTTCAGTAGTTTTATTCATTTCAAATGGGCCGGATCTGGCCTGTGGGCCGTAGTTTGCCCACGGCTGGATTAGGATGTGATCAGGCTGTCAGGCAGAAGCAGGTAGGGGCAATCAGGCAGGCAGGCAGGTGAGCGGTTGGAAGCCAGCTGTCTCAGATTGTGAGAGTGATGTCCGACTGCCAGTTTAGGCCCGATCTCTATCAGGCCTAAACCGGCAGTTGGATATTCCCCCGAGGGGCCCCAGATTGGAGAGGGTGCAGGCTGGGCTGAGGTACACTCCCCCCAGTGCATGAATTTTGTGCACCGGGCCTCTAGTAGAGAATAATAGTTCAACTACATTATAGGTTAAAATAGACTTTGCTGGGATAACCTGTCAACCCAAACAGCATTTGCAGTATAGCAGTTGTGTATATGTACAGGGACAATGGGCATACATATATATTCCTATATTTTCTGAAGAAAAGCAATAAATTTGACCCACATATTTCCTTCTAGAGCATAAATTTATGTTACTTCCTGATCCACACTAAGCTAAAGCTGTTCCCCCAAATAATTTGAAAGTCCATAGTTGCAGAATGACTTTTTATGTAAAGAGAACATTATAATTTGTTGGTATAGCACAAAGAAACTGTGTAATTTATCTGGAAACTAGCTTTAAGCCAATCATTGACATGTATACTATACCTAGTGAAATCAACTGATTTATAAACATATTCTCTGAATTGGAACCTCTTCATCTCACGATATTCAAAATTATTAGCAGATTAAGTTACTAGAGGCCCGGTGTACAAAAATTTGTGCACTCGGGGGAGTCCCTCAGCCCTGCCTGTGCCCACTTGCAGTCTGGGACCCCTCGGGGAATGTCCACCTGATGGCTTAGGCCCACTCCCCGGGGGGTCGGGCCTAAGCTGGCAGTCAGACATCCTTCTGGCAGCCCGGTAGCCCTTGGGGGATGTCCACTTGCCAGCGGGGAGCAGGCCTAAGCTGCAGTCGGACATCCTTAGCCAGGGGTCCTCAAACTTTTTAAACAGGGGGCCAGTTCACTGTCCCTCAGACCGTTGGAAGGCCGGACTATAGTTTAAAAAAAAACTATGAACAAATTCCTATGCACACTGCACATATCTTAGTTTGAAGTAAAAAAACAAAACGGTAACAAATACAATATTTGTATTTGCATGTGGCCCGTGGGCCGTAGTTTGAGGACCTCTGTCCTTAGCGCTGCTGAGGAGGTGGGAGAGGCTCCTGCCACCACCACTGTTCTGGCAGCCATCAGCCTGGCTTGTGGCTGAGCAGAGCTCCCCCTGTGGGAGTGCACTGACCCCTCCTGCATTGAGTGTCTGCCCCCTGGTGGTCAGTGTGTGTCATAGTGACCAGTCATTCCCAGTCGTTCTGCTGTTAGGGTCAATTTGCATATTACCCTTTCATTATAAAGGATAGAGGCCTGGTGCACAGGTTGGGGCCAGCTGGTTTGCCCTGAAGGGTGTCCTGGATCAGGGTGGGGGTCCCGCTAGGGTCCTTGGCCAGCCTGGGTAAGGGGCTGCTGGCTGTTTGCAGGCTGGCCATAGCCCCTTCAGGGTGGGGGGATCCCACTGGGGTGCCTGGCCTGCCTGGGTGAGGGGCTGATGGCTGTTTGCAGGCTGGCCAAGCCCCCCAGCGGGGACCCTCACCCCATGGGGATGTGGCCAACCTGGGTGAGGGGCTGAGGGCCGTTTTCAGACTGGCCATGCCCCCTGGCAACCCAAGCTCCCAGCCTCTCCTTTTTTTTCTGGGGTTTATTTATCTTCTATAATTGAAACTTTGTAGCCTTGAGCAGAGCCTAGGGCTGGCCAGAGCAGGGAGGAAGCTTGCCTTCCTCCATCATCAGGGGCAACCCAAGCCTCCTGCTTGCTCCAGCTCTATGGCCGCTACCATCTTAGTTGGGTTAATTTGCATACTCCCTCCTGATTGGCTTGTGGGTGTGGCTTGAGCATAGTGGAGGGACAGTTAATTTGCAAGTTTCTCTTTTATTATATTGGATTCTCACAAAGTTCTAATGAACTTCACAAATCTGTTTGCTCTATTCTGAGCACAAAATATTTAGCCTAATTTTTGTTTTTCTATTATTTTATATATTAATAAAGTGATACCAAAAATGTTATTATCTTAAACAATACAGTATTATATAGTTATTACAAAGTGAATCTCATGAAATCATATTAAAGAACAACAATTACCACATCTTAACTCAGATAATTCAAGGAAGAGAGTTATTGGAATACTAGGGTAGCTGTTGGCAAAGAAATTTTTTCCCTGAATCCTGAATTTTGAAGGAAATTTTTGTCATTTAATTATTGAGATATCAAAGGCCTATAGTATGATATATTTTCCTCCCCCAACTTTATCTTCAAATTATCTGTGCTTTAGATGTTCATACTTTCACTTCTTAAAAGTGCATCCTTTATGGATCCTTTTTACATTGCTTTAATAACACATTAGAACACCATACTGAAGGGCTCTTATCATTCCACTTTGTTTTTTGGCCATGAATAATAATGTGACAATAACACATGTATGAAGTAAAATTATGGGGTAATTAGTATTTGTCTGGGGACATATGAATATATATTAAGAATATGTATAATGACAATAATAATAAATAATAATATTAGGTATTAGATTTATTGAGTGTTTAATATATGGCAATCTTTCCCCCCTTGTTTTATTTAATGCTCATGTTAGCAGTATACAGTAAGTTTTCAGTCCACTTTAAGGATGAGGAGACTAATGCTCAAA